CCGTTGGCAGTCTCAGTACATTATACGAAGTTATACGAGACGTGGGCACCGTCTGGAGCGCCCTCGAGGCCCTGCCCGCCGGCGTCAACTGGGGCCGCATCCCCGGCGCCACCGCCTCGGACTCGGCCTCGGCCTCGGCTTCGGCCTTGGTCGCCGGCGATGCCAACGCCGCAAAGGACCTCGAGGACGATGGTCTGTGGTCGGCCATCACGCTGACGTGCGACATTGACTGCACCGAGGTGCGCGTCGGCCGCTCGGTCGTCGTGCCCACCCAGGAGCTGCAGAAGCACAACTTCTTTCGCGGCAACGCGCGCGCCCTGGTGCGCGACATTGGCGCCGGAACGCGATACTCGTGGGACGACCTCAAGAAGTCCAGGTCCGGCCCCAGGTCCAAGGTGGGGGGCACGCTGTCCTCGACGGCCAGCTACCTCTCGCTCAACGCCTACACCAACCCGGAGTTTACGGCCCTGTGGAAGCTGCCGAGCTGGGTGCCCTTTTTCGGCAGCGACAGCAGCAACAAGGGCGCCAAGGACGCCAAGCCCACGGCGCCTTCGGGCGGCGATGCGGGCCAGGGGCAGAAGCGCATCTGGGTTCCCTCGACGACCAAGGTGTCGCTGCACGCCAGCTGGTGGGGCTTCAACATCTACCTGCCCGAGGCCATCATCGGCAAGCTCGACGGCGACGTCGACGAGGCCGAAAAGATTGCCAACCTCGTCAACAAGTGCCTCACGTTTATCCTCGACAACATCCCCGCCGGCCTGCCGACGGCGCTGGGCGCCGTCATCACCATCCTCAAGGCCATTGCGCCGACGACGGGCTACATTTCGACCTTTATCGGCTGGAGCTGGGATACGATCAAGAGCTTTGACAAGGGCCAGGGCGTCGTGCTCAGCGCCACGTGGATCCTGCCCGTCGCCCTCATCCCGCGCGCCTGGGATGCGCCCGTCGCGGCGACGCCTGGCGCTACCCCCGTACCCAGCGTGCCCAACTCGCCCACGACTCCCGCTCCCGAGCTGCCGTCCGACCAGACGCCCGCCCCGGCCGATCCAAACGCACCGGCACCAGCGCCAACGCCAACGCCAGCTCCAGAGGTTCCTTCCACATCTCCCGCACCGGCACCTGCACCCGGACCGGCACCTACACCGGCTCCATCGACGGAGGCACCACCATCCACCTCGACGCCCGACACCGTCTCCGACATGCCACGGGTGGGCGAAGGGATGATGCGAGCCCAAGATGCGACGGCCGCGCCAGATGTACCGAGTTCGGTTCCCCTGCCCGTCTTTGACGATCCGCCGCTTTCCCCCGCCACGGGACTGCCCGCACCGGGCGCGACGCCCCCGCCAAAGGATCCGAGCAGCGAGCCCATCGACCTCAGTCCGCCTCCGCGCGCTCCCGGAGGCGGCGGCGGCGGGCGCGAACTCTACCCCGGTGACGCACTCGGACGCGGTGGCGATAAGGCCCAGCAACCCGCTATGGGATCGACTCCCCCGCCACCCGGTCGCGTCCCTATCGATGCGGAGAGCTAGCTAGGTCCTACCTGGACGCGCCTGCCCCCCTCCCCCCCAGTCGGATCCCTTCTCCCTTCCCTCCCAATCTCAGCAATGGACTTTTCAATATCCCCCCCTTCTCCTCATCTTCCAGCCACTTTGCATCCCTTTCTTCCTGTCCTGTAATCGACTCGTCGTAGCATACCATCCATCGTCGTCTTGACCTCGCTCCGCTGCACCACCACAGCCCCTCCTCTAGGGCCCCTTGAGCCTTGCGATTGCGAAATGCATCAGTCCTGTAGCTCCCTTGCACCCCGTGCTCGGACGACCGGATCGCTGCCGATGGGCGATGGATGCTGCCAGCCTTGAGACCGCGAGTGAGTCGGGATACCGCGCGATCTGGATGTCTATCTTCGAGGCGTCGTGGACGGCATGCTGGGTGGGGTGGGCTACAGTCTGGCTCTGCGTCGTCCACGATGTCGATCATCGAGGCCGGCTGCGTACGGATCTCCTGCCCGCTCGAATCGGCTGATGAGCGAGACACGACAGGCTGCCCCTCGTCGGCGTCCTCCCCTTCTACTTGGACCATCCAGGCACGACCCGCTTCTTCTTCTCCGCTCCTGCCCCTGCCCCTGC